CCCCCCCCCCCCCCCCCACACACACACAAACTGTTTCCAGTGACTGCATTCACATTTCTCTGCAGCGTCCCATCTCTGTTTGTCCAAAGCATATGAGACAGCATTGGTCTGCTCTGTCCTCTGTACCTCTGAGAAACCCCAGCCCCCTCGCTGTAGAGAAGTGACCTGTTGACATAATCACCAGACATGACTGTTTGGTTACTGATTAGATGTCATGACTCTGAATGATAAAGCCTTGCCTGTGAGCAAAGTGCCAGAGTCCTCCATCCATTCTGAGGGACACAGGCAACAGCACAGGTATGTTTGATTTCTGTATCTCTAGCTGTCTGACCAATTTCTTGTTGTTTGTAAAAATATCCTGTTTTCACGTGTTGCAGAGATGAGTTATTTGTATTAATATGCAATGTATTCCATTAGACTATGCTCATGAACAGGGCTATTTGTCACATCTGTGAATGTATGCATGTGTGTATATGTATGTATGTGTATATATACGCTTGTTACGCTATACAATGGCCAGTGTGCCAATAAATGTGATTTTCATGAAAAACAATTGTGTATTTTTTTTTATATAAAATATAGCGGGTACAAAAAGGTAGCATACAAAGAAATGACAAACCATTATTTTGTCAAAAAGCATAAAATGTATAAATAAAAGTATAAATTTTTTTTATTTTTCTCATTTCATTCTTAAACTTTTTTCAAACACCCTTCCTCTTGCAGGAAATGTGGTGCAATTTCTGACTCCACTCTCAGCTCCACCCTCAGGGGTCTTTCCCCTCAGATGATGTTTTCTTACTCCTGCAAACAATGGGTGCTGGAAGAAAAAATGCTGTTTGCACGACAATAATGTGATGCTGTTCATAATGGTCCTGGTGTTAAGACGCTCTGCACTGTTCTGTCATCTGTCATTCATATTGTTTCCAGGGCATCATGAGTGTGGAAAAGAAGACGGCACGAGAGCCATGCTGCTCCAAATTAAAGGTAATTTTGACTTATCTTCTCCTGCTTTTCAGTTTCTTGTTTACATTGGCCCATTCTGATCAAAGACATGAACGTGATAACAGCTAATTTAATCCCATCACTATGCAATTACTTTCTATTGACTTTCTCTGCACAGTTTCAGATCATCTTCTGAGATTTTGTTTGTATAATGGCCTCAAAAATAATGTAGACATTTAAGTCTCAGACAGATTCCATTGCATGTTAAATATTAAACCAACTGGCAAAAATAAAATAGTATAAGCACACATTTCGAGTAAAATATATTAAAAAAATAACATTAAACTATAAATCTGGTCAATATATAGATATTGACAAAATATATTTGGACAATTTCTGGTTGTTCATAGTTACTGCAATTAACTACCTGTTCTTATTCTGTACACCTCTTTAATTATATTAACAATAAATTACGCATAATTACATGCAAGTAACCCTAAGCCAAATCCTAGTCCCAACCCTAACCATATAGTAAGTACATGTATTTTGTATTATGTATTTTGGTTAAAAGCATCTGCTAAATGACTAAATGTAAATGTAAATGTATGTAGATGATTAATATTACTCAGTACTTAAATGAATAATTACACTGTAACAACAACACCTTAAAATAAAGTGTAACCAAATTCTTCCATCATTTACTTGCCTTCATGTAAATACAAGCTAACAAATAGAATAGAATAGAAAGGTCATTAAAAGGCAACCTGTGAGTGATTGTCAGTGGTTCCACAAAAACCAAAAAGTACTTCAGTTTGATTCAGCAAAATAGCTAAAACTAGCATAAGATGGTCTTAGCTGGTAATACTGGTTCACTGGTTTGTTGGCTTGTTTTAGTGGGCACTTTTCAGCTGGTTAGCTGGTTAGCTGAAGATCACCTTGGTCAGTCTGGAAAGACCAACCTACAGTAGCTAAATCCATCTTAAACTATCTCTAATGTGATAACTAATTCAAGCATAAATCACTCAGATGGGACCACCAAAATCATAATGGCAATTCTGCATTTCTGCAGAAACTAAAAAATCTAATTTGTTAGTGTATAAACTAAAGTGGGTTTTTAGTTACATGAATTGTTATCTCTCTGTGTTATTGTAATCTCTCTCTCTCTCTCTCTCTCTCTCTATCACTCTTGCTCTATGTGACCCCTGACCTTTAATAAACAATGGTTGAACCAGAGTATGTGGTTTTTTCTTCTTTTTTTCAGTGTGGCTCAAGTGAATAATTTTTAGGACCAATGTATTCAAAATGTCTTTAAGTATGTTCTGTACTGCAGGAAATTATGAGTACGTTTGCAGTTTATTTCTTCTTTATGGTTAAAATTGGTGGTGATGTTAATAGGATACCAATTTTTGTTCTTTTCAGGTAATCTGTTTGTAATAGCTTTTGTGAGTTACTTTGGTGCTAAGCTGCATAGACCACGACTCATAGGAGCTGGATGTTTAATTATGGCCATGGGATCCTTCATAACTGCGGCACCACATTTCTTCCAAGGACTGTAAGTTTAACTGGTCAACTACTCTTTAAACCACTTTAGTTACCACATTTGTGTCAACAAGGATACATTTCTGATTCAAATTATAAGACAAATTGTGTAACAATGTGTTAATGCGTTTTCCACAGGTACAAATACGAAACAACAATTTCCCATTTCTCTGCCTCGAATGGTACAGAGAGTATTCTACCATGCTTAACCAATGGGAGTCTTGCACAAGATGAAATTCCCACTGTGGAAATTCAAGCAGGTAAGTTGTTTAACCCTGAGAATGACCTCAGATAAGATATTAAACCATATATAGCGATACTGCAACCAATGTATCACAATAATAAACTTATGGGCCTTGATCTTCTAGAGAAGACCAATTGCCTCTCCAAAAATTAAGTTTTGATATATTTATGGTAGGCTGCCATGTGTTTTGTGTACTTTGCCAAAGCATTTCAGGGCAGCTACATGAAGAGCTCTATCACGCAGATTGAGAGACGTTTTGACATTCCCAGCTCACTGATTGGATTTATTGATGGAAGTTTTGAAATTGGTGAGAATAATAATAAAAAAAATACATATGTTGGGTCTAAATGGAGCAGAAATCTTCATATACCCACACACTCTAATGACATTTATTTTAATGGCGATTTTAATTATTGTACACTTTGGTGAATTGGTGGCTAATTCATATGATCTCATTAATGTGTTTCCATACAATCTTCTTATGCCCCACTGACAATTAGGTTTAGGGGTGGACCTTCAAGGGGCTTTTCCCCCTAAAAATGTTACCTTTCCATCTGAATCACATTGTACGAATTTATAAAAAATTTATTTAGCATATACTGTATTTTGTCCTCAAAAAGTATATGGAAACTTACATCACATGTATAAATATATACTGTAAATACCATTGCGGATGGCAGATGGCTTCAAGAAATATCATCTTTTTTTGGTGACTGTGACATTCTTAATCATAATATAAATAAGTTGCTGTTACACAGTTCAAACACTGTGCAACAGCAACACTGTTAAAAAAAAAAAAGTTCTGCCATGACAACTCTTGGAGGGATTGGCATGGTAATATACATGACAATGTTAATGTATTTGGTCTTGGCGGAAAAGATCTGAGATGCTGCTGCGGCAGAGCAAGTACCGAGACTTGCTACTGCCAATACATCCACAACATGCTGCTGTGAGCATGTAAGAAATACTGCTGCTGCACATATAACATATATGAAATAACCCCCATAGCATACATGAATCACCTCGTAGCAGACCTATACAGGTGGAGCTGGGGAATGTGGAGGGTTTCTGAAGTGCGCTGCTACTGCTACAGCAAACACTAGCCAAGTACTTGAATGTTGAGCAGTCAGCTCATTGGCTACCGATACAGGAGAGAACCAATCAGCTGTGATGTGATAATGATGTCATATTGAGTTAGATCTATTGGGCTGCACCATCTAGAGTTTCATGCCAGAACTTTGTATTTGTAAAATGGATTTTAAGTGCAGCAATTTGTGTTTTACTAATAGAAATCATGAACATAACAACCAAAAACATTTGCAACGAGACCTGAAAATTAACAGAAAGAAATACAGAGCTTAAATACACTGAAACAAATCAATCAACACTGATTAGTGTCTGCACCTATCATTGAGTAAGATGAGTGCAGGGCACGCAAAAGGGATGACCACAGGGTCACGAGCAGAACAGACACCAGGAAGAGCCAGAGAGGAATTAGCTGTATAGATCTCTGATTCTCTGATATAAACAGAGAAAATACAAAGTTCAACTAAAGCAAACACAAATGAGCCATAGAAGTTACCTCTCCAAAAATTAAGTTTTGATATATTTATGGTAGGAGATTTACAAAATATCTTCATGGAACATGATCTTTACTTAATATCCTAATGATTTTTGGCATTACAAGAAAAATCGATAATTTTGATCCATACAATGTATTGTTGGCTATTTCAACAAACATACCTTTGTGACTTAAGACTGGCTTTGTGGTCCAGGGTCACATATGATTGTGCTACCCACAATCCCCTGGAACACTGATCTGTCACTCTAGTTTGCTTATACCTAGCTTTTCTTTTCTGAACTTTGAACTTTTGGAAGCCTAATGTATTGGGTTTGAATGCTTTTTAGAATTTATTCTTTCATTGAGATGCTGATATTGGAGTGTCTTACAGAGTTGCATGTGCAGTTGTTCATTTGTTTTTGTAGAATGTGAGAAAGCAGCCAGTTCTTCCTTGTGGCTCTATGTGTTTCTCGGGAACATGCTTCGTGGGGTAGGAGAGACACCCGTCATGCCTCTTGGGTTGTCTTATCTGGATGATTTTTCGAGGGCGGAAAACACTGCTCTTTACATGGGTATGATTGATTACCCATTTCAATCCAATTCAATAATTCTGGCATACATTCAAGCCTTATTAACATACTGCTTTACACTTCACCCCCATTATATGTCAAAACGTACCAATTTCACTATACCACTTTAATTTGAAATGTGTATTTTACTTATTGATCATAAAAAACACATATTTACAGATAACATTATATTAAAAAAGTAAAGGGCCACTTACATTTATTTAAAGAGTGTACACTTTCATGAGAGTTTCTTACACTGAAGTACACTTATAAGTAATAAGGTCAAATTAAAAAGTATACTTTGTAATAAGGTACAATTAAAAGTTCCACTTAAGGAACTCGAGCTGCGTTGAGAATCGCTTTGGGAATGTCCCTGCGTGACCGCGTTCTGAAGCACGTGCAAAATCAGCCCAATGGAGCAGCGAGACGTCACGAGCGGGGTGACGTGAGCACCAGGAAGTATAAAAGCGCAATCAGCAGAGCGCAAGTTAGCTTCTGCTCTTCAGTAGCGCTCTGTGTATGTGTCAGTCCTATTTATTGTTGTCTGTCAGCCACAAGCATATCAATCATGTCAAAAGCAAAGTCTAAGTCTATGGCGAGCGAACGGCATTACAGACGTTGTGTTCCTCCCTGCCCACGATATCTGGCGGCGGGGGATACACACGATCTGTGTGTTGTTTGTATAAGAGCGGAGCATACACATTCAGCTCTCGAGGGAGATGATTTTCATTATT